GAAAAGGCTGACTTTCATGCTGTGTGAATTATACTTCCACGAAGCTGTTATTAAAGCAAACAAAAGAACCGCTGGTGGCCCATGGCTGGGGGACAGGCCGGCAGCCCTGCGTCCTGCCTCCAGGGAGCAGACGCACTGCCCTCCCGCGGCCTCCCGTGGCCCCAGGCCAGGCTGCTGCCCGCCAGGGCCCTGTTCCGAGTCGAGCACGTAGCCCCAGCCCAGATCCGCCACCTTCAGTGCCACTCTGCAGGATAGACGGTCTTCTTCTGTCAACTTTTCTCCCACTTTAGCCCCAAGCCCAAACGCCACTGTCAGCTCCTTACTCCTGGTGAATCACTCACCAGGGTGGACGAGGCCACAGATGGCGCCCCCGCGACCCTCTGATCCCAGGGGACAGAGCGTGGCGGTCCCAACGGAGCCCCGGGCCAGGCCGAGGCCCTGCTCTGCACGGAGGGGGCTCTGCCTGTCCTTTGGCATGGACAGAGCTGCAGAGGAGTCCGGGTGTCTTCTCGCTGCCGGCTAGCCGTGGGGGGTGGGGGGGACATAGGCTCACTTGCTGACGCCCCAACTTGGGCCCTGCCCGGGGGTGAGCATGCAGACTGGGGGCGGCTTTGCAGGAGCCCAGGTTGCATGGGCCAGTTGCACGAGGCCTCCTGTGGGTGGGAAGATGCACAGCTCTGAAGGGCGGACCCCAGGCACGGAGGGCCACGGGGAGCCCACCACCTTCCTGAGCTCGGGGAGGGTGGGGCAGGGCTTGGGGCAACATCCTGCCACACTGTCAGCAGGGGCCTGGAGAGGTGACCTCGGTGGCCTTCCTGGGCAGATACGTTGACAATAGGAGCCAGAAATGAGAAGGCAGCCAGCACTGGTGATGACTGGTTGGCAGACAACACACGAGCTCTTGGGGACAGCCCCAGCTCCTGTGTGACCCAGGACGAGGGTGGGAACAGAGGGCCAGAGCCAGTCTGGCTGATGGCACTGTCATGTGGTCCCGGTGGCCCTTGGTCTAGGAAGCTCAGGCCCACCTCCACCAAGCTCCCAGGCCGAGTCGCCTTTGACCACGGCCTCCCAGCAGGGCAGGCACCACAGGAAGTGGAGACAGGAGTATGGGTGCGAGGGCAGACTCGGGGAGGGGGTCCCGAACTGGCCACAGCACCTGGCTGAGCCTGGACGCCGAGGAGCCTGGACGCCGAAGAGCCTGGACACTGAGGGGCCCGGCTGGCCCCGCCTTTGCCTGGGGCCCAGAGCTCCTCGCGGCGGTTGGGTCGCTGCAGACTCACCGTGGCCTCGTGTTTCCGTCGGCAGCTCCGGCCTTTCCACGTGGAGCTTGGAGCTCAACTCCCACCCCCTCACCCCCTGGATTCCAGGCGGCCCCTCCCCGCATGCCTCCACCCCGACCACACAGGACAGGTGGGGGTGGGAGCACTTCCCCCCGGAGGCTTCCTTCCATGGTGTCCAGGCCACCTGTCTGCCTATCCCTCTGGCCTGAGGACCTCTGCCAGGGACAGTCCCCAGTGGTGCTCACTGTGGCATCTGCTGCACAACCCCCCGTGGGAGGACACCGGCCCCATGTGCTGCCACCACGTAGACTCTCTGTGGAGCCCAGACCTCCTCCTCGGGGCCAGTGCCCCTCCACAGTCCACGAGTGACACGTGTTCCATTCTGTCCGGCAGGAGAATAAGAACCAGGCTGTCCCCCCCCGGAAGACGATAAGCAGAACACCTGTCTCCCTGAGTATCCTCTAAGACCTGGCCCAAGGCTGAGAATGGTTCCCAGGAAAAGCTATTCGGCCAAACTGAACCCCAAATGGCAATTCTGCGTGGAAGCCTGCCTAGCAACAAGACTAGCAGCTAATCCTACGAACCGGTATTTTTATCCCTGGGACTGGAAGGCTGAGAACAGTGGCCTCCCCCACCCCCATGCCCCTCCGGGTCCCCTGCCTCCCTGCCTTCCCTTCTCACTGGCAGGGCTCTGGGCCCTGGGGTGGAGACGGGGTCCTGAGGGCCCTCAGACAGCAGTGCCGGCTAGGGTCGGCCTGGCTGCCCCTCACTGCCCCTCACTGCCCTTCCCTTGTCCTCGCCCTCGTCCTCCACATCCCGGAGCCCCTGCATTTTGTGCCCCAGTCGACAGAGGCCGAGGGTCCCTGTTCTCCATGGGCACTCAGCGAGCTCTTGACACAGTGTGTAAAGACTCCGGTGGCCCACAGCCCTTCCGCGGCTGCCATGTGCCAAGCTGCTCCCAGGAGCCGGCGCGCCTCCCAGGTCTACAGAGAAAATACTGTGCTGGTGAAACCTCCGAGCACCGGACGTCCGGTTCCGGAACAGGATGGCGCAGCTTCGCTTTGCCCACTCCTCACACCCTCAAAGGCCCCGGAAGGCTGGAGAAAGGGCAGACAAGCCAGCGGCCTCCAGACTCGAGACACAGACTCCCTTATCTCCCACACACCCTGGACTGGGCAGAGAGGCTGCACCCCGCATGGCCGCCAGACATCATCTAGACAGGCAGCAGGGGAAACTGCCCTTGGGCCAAAGGACGGGAGCGGGCAGGCCCGACCGAGGGCTGGCCCTCTGCCCTCCCCCACCAGACAGCACCACGGAGCCCTGTGTGTCCCCCACCACGGGCCACACAGAGCCCAGGCCCAGTGGAAGCATGCCCACTGCGCAGGCCGTGCCACCATGCGAGGACACTGGCGACCAAACACCGGAGCCACAACCTCCGTGCCCAACCCAAGGGTGAGCGCTTGCTAAAATAAATAGCATGACGACTCTCCTGACAAAATAACCAAAACAGCCAGGATACATCTGAAAGTCCTGAAAATCCTACTTCACATGAACCAAGAACCATAACTGGAATGAGAAAAGACGATCAAAGACGCCGACGCCAAGGTCAAGCAGTTGCCGGAAAGAAGGAGTGAAACAGTCACTAACGTGCTTCAGCCTGTGGCTACGGAAGCTCCCGAGACAGACGGAGAAACGGAAAACCTCAGCGATGGCGTTTCATGTTCCTTTGTGTGGGAAAATAAGTGTTCTCGATAAAGTAAAAACTATGGAACTGGAAAACGTACTAGCCAAATAAAACCCTTGCCAGACAGATCGACAGCAGGTGATGACGACAGGATGAGCCGGCAAAGCCGAGGACAGGTCAAGAGAACTTACTCCTTCCGACCAAGAGGAACAGACTGAGAGCAGCACACGTGGGACGTGACTGTGACGCCGTCGGAGCCGCAGAGACAGGGACGAAGACTGCGGGGCTGAAAAAGTAGCCGGACAAATAATGTCTGAAACGTCTCGATTTTAACAAAAGTTGTAAACCAACAGATTCGAAGAGCAGAGCAAACTCCAAATAGTGGAAACCTAGAGCGATCCGCACCGAGACACATCATGATTAACCAAACTTCTGGAAACTAAAGACACAACAACAACAAAGTCAGAAAGAAATAACACATTTTGAGAGAGAAACAGCATTGAAGTGACAGCAGACGTCTCACCAAGGCAGCCGGAAGTGAGCACCACAATGTTTTTCAAGAGCTGAAAGAACTGTCAGTCGCAAACTCCAGGCCCCGTGAAGCGACCCTTCAGGATGCAGGGGAAATACAGATGTTTACAGAGGGAGAGAAACAGAGACTTGGCTGCCAACAGAACTTTCTTTAAAGGATGCTCTCCAGGGGTGGCTCCACAGAGTGGGCAGCACATCTGCTTTGCACGCAGGTCCCGGGTCCGCGCCCCGGGCACACGCCGTGAGCACGTGGGAGGGGACGCCCCACCGTCGGAGATCCAGTTCTTAAGGGGAAACAGCGGCATCCATGGGTCAGGGTGGAAGTGGCGGGGGGGAGAATTAAAGAGAGAAAAATAAAGACAGAATGCTTTCCAAACGGAATATACCAGGAGCCTTCATAGGGAAAAGATCAAAGGTGAACGTGACAGACTCCTTTCGTGGCTACAGCCAAAACTGCACCAGCTGCTGTGGAGCCGCAGGCGCAGGGAACGCTGACCACCATACTGGACCACCTGGGAGGGCAGAGGGCCGTTCACAGAAGGGAGGCCACTCCGCCCCTGCGCCCCTTCCTGCCCTTGGGCCCCACCTGGGCCGGCCCCTGGCCCACGGTGGCTGGGCCTGCTGTCCGTCAGGACCCCACGGCTCCCGGCTCTGCCTCCGGGTCGTCCAGCCTGGCTGCCCCGTGCGGCAGGCGTGTCGCGGGGTGCCCCTCCCTGCTGCCCTCGCTGCCGGTGCAGGGGGAGTGGGGTGAGGGCGGGGTGGCAACACCAGGTGGAACCCCCAGCACTGCCCAGCTCCATGCTGCCAGAGCCCGGGGACTGGGACCTCTGTGGGACTGCTCACGTGCAACGCCAGCAAAGAATTAAAAGCTATTCAACGGGTACGGAGTTTCACTTTGGGAAGAAACGTTCTGGGGATGGGTGGGCTAATGGCCAACGACACAACTGTACCTGACGCCACGGAACTGGACACTCGGAAATGGTTAAGGCCGTGAGTTTTGTCACGTGTATTTTACCACGGCAGACAGACGTTTTAAAGGCGTGAGCTTCCTGACGCCTTGGCAGCCAGGTCACGCCCCTGCCTTGGCGGGGGAAGGGGCAGGCCAGGACTGTCCTCCCAGGAGTGGGGGTCCCTGAGGAAGGGTGAGGTGATGCTTGTCAGGGTTTCCAGTGGCTGTTCAAGTGAGGGTCCAGGGGAGGCAGGTGGGGTCAGGGGTTACGACCTTGACCTGTCCGGCTGCTGGAGAGGGGCCTGCAGGGGCAGCCGTCTCTCCCCTCTGCCCTGACCCCGCCTTTGCGGTCCTTCCACTGACAGGTGGCCACAGGGTCCTGGGGTGCTGTGTGCTGGGTCCTGGGATCTGCTGATTCCAGGCCCCTGGGATGGGGGTGAACTCTGCAGCCACGCCGGGCCGTGCGGAGCCATGAGGAGCCATGGGGAGGGCGTGGGCCACATGCTGGGGGTTGCCGAGGGTTCGGGGGACAACCACAGAGAACTAGCTCAACAGCGAACGTCACAACGCAGAAGCGCTTAAATACAGATTTATTGCAAACCCACACGCGGACGGGGCGGCCTCGCTCTCTTCAGGCCTCGCTGACGAGCTCAGTGGCTGGTCCGCTGCTGCTGCCGCGTCTGCAGAGAGAAAACAGGCAGGAGCGGCAACTCCAGGCCCAGCCGCAGGAGGGGCAGAGGATGCCCGCGAGGCACGGGGCGCCCGACAGCTCCATCAGCCGACGCCCCCAGCTGCTCCCAGCCACCGCGGCACCGCTGTCCTGGTGAGCGGGGTGGGGAGACGCGCATAAAACCGGCAGAAGGCAGGCAGCAGACCGCGGAGGCCCAGGGTCTCCCAGATTGCTGAGGCGCCACACCACACCCCACCTCGTCACTCCGGGAGATGCCCGGGGGGGCGGGAGGGAGGCAGACACACAGACACACGCATGAGACCTGGGAGCCTGCAGAGGGGTCTCGGAAGGTCCAGAACCAACCACTGTGACGACTGCGGACCAGCCTCGTGCCCCTTTGGGTGCGCCCGCAGCCACGGTGTCCAGGCTCCCGTGGCAGTGTCAGAGCCACTGAACGCTTCCCAGGGACCCAGAGAAGCCGCCGGGGAGCAGAAACCTGCCTGTGTGACCCACGAACCAGCCCACCCTGTGGCTGCCGGTGGACGGCTCCTGGAGGACCGCCTCCCAGGCAGGGTCCTCGACCCCCAGCCCAGTGGGCAGGGCCTGCGAGGGAGGCTCCTGGCGATGGGCACAGCCTGCAGCAATGGCACGAGCTCGGCCTGAGGGCAGAGCTGAGGGCACGGTCGCACGGTCTGGGCTCCTGCGACGCAGCCTGGGGCGGCTGACGGCCGTGGTCTCCTGAGGCTGCTCCACCAGCTCACCCACCAGGCCAGGCCCCACGAGAGGAAAGCGCCGGGCAGGGTGGGAGCGGGTCGGCCTGGCCAGAGGTCCTGCTGCGCGGGCAGCCACAGGACTGTCTTCTAGCACAGGGAACCAGCAACCGGGACCTCAGTGTCCGCTGTTCCACGAAGGCTGAGGCCAGCGGCTGACGTTACAAACAAGCGAGACTGCAGGGAGCGCCCAGCAAGGTCAGGCCGAGTCCCCAGGCCGCCCAGGACGCCAGGCCTGCACACGTCCGCCCAGACCGCGCCAGCACAAGAACGCAAGCAGGGCACACGCAGCAGCAAGCGGGAGGGCGGCTGGAGCGCCCGCCGCCTCCGCCCTCCGGCCGCCCCGCGGCCCACGCAGCCCTGCCCGGGAACAGTCTGCCGCCGGGGGCAGGGTGCGCGGCGCGCCCAGGGAAGGGATGGCTCAGGCGCCAGACGGCGAGTCCCGGCAGAGGGCCCGGCCAGGCCCCAGCTGCCCCGGCGAGGGCGTCCTCTCCTGGTCACTAAAACTGCACCGCCCCCGGGGAGATGTTGAACATGGCGGGGTCGAACCGCTGGCCTCGGAAGGGAGAGCCTTCAGCGTCCCACCCCTTCTTCAGCATCTCGTGGACTTTCTACAACAGAAAACAGACAGGTTAACGGGTCACCAGGCCCACTGGCCGGAGCGAGCTGCGCCCCGCGTTCTCCTGAACACCTGCCTGCGTGACTGCAGCCCCCACAGGCTGCTCCCGCCCCCGACGTGTCCCCAGCGAACCGCTGGCTGGCGTCTTCGCGGTGCAGCTGCTGTCCCCAACCCCCCACGCCGCCAGGATTCCTGTTCGGACACTGAAGGGGTTGAGGTCCATGGCTCACGGGGCAGACTGAGGTGCAGGGCTCCCTGCTCCCCCAGGGAGGAGGCTGGGACACGAGGCCTAGACCCTCAACTAACCCAATGTGACTTCGCTGGGGACTCAGAGGGAGAGACCACGGGAGGGTCCTCGGTGGACCCCCCAGTCCTGGACCTCACAGCAGCCTGCTGAAAGGTCCGGTTTCTGGGGTGTCACCAGCTGGGCAGTGTGGCCGGGCCAGGGGACCGGGAAGGTGCCTCCAGTGAACACCTGGCCGGCCAGGTCCCCCTCCCTCCCTTCTGACAATGGCGAAGGGCCGAGGCACGCCCTCGGCTCTCCAGGACAACAGACCCCGTGAAGGGAAGGGACGGCTCCTCGGCTCTAGGTGGCGGGCGAGTGCGTGCACGGCACGCAGCGCAGGGAGATGTGTCAGTGCCACTCCCCGCCGTACAAACGAAGGACGCACGGACGCACGAGAGGCAGGAAGGCCCCACACCTGGCACCTGGGCGTAGGGTGGCAGAGATGCCGCTGGGCCTACACGCCCCCTGCTCTAGTTCCTACTGGCCACCCCCTGGGGCTCCTCTCCCAGCCTGGCACCCACCCTCTGCACCCCACCGGCCGGCCACTGTCCCCACTGTCCGGTCCTGTCTGGAGCTCTGCCTGAGCGCTCACACCCGGAGCCCTCGCAGCGTTCCACGGGGTCTGCCCGCTCCTCTTCTCCAGGAAATAGCAAAACACCAACCCCCACCTGCTTCCTTGGGCCACTCCTCCTCCCCAGAGGCCACCAACCCGTCCTGCTGACCCCTGCGGCTTCCCTTCACGCAGGGCAGAGCAGAGCCTCAGCTGAACCGTCTGTGGCTATGCAGCCCTCAGCAGCCACCAAGTGTCACCGCACCCAGCTTCCTCCCCACCAGGCTATTCCCGTGGCTCCTCGGGCCCAAAGCTGCGCCCAGGCTGCGCTCACCAGCCACTGTGGGAAGGACAGTCCACCCGGACCCCTGGTAGGAGGCCACCTTCGAACAGGCTCCTTCCCGAATCCGAGAAGCCCACGTTGAGGGCCGGGCAGCCAGGCCAGGCCCAGCACTGAGTCACAGTCTACCCGAGCCATCTGAACTTCCTCATCTTTAGCAAGGAACCAAGGGCTGGAGACCACTGGCCACCCAGCAGCAGGCTGGCCAGGCAAGCGGTCACTTCTGGTTATGCATGTACCACCAGCTCTGGGCTCCGATGTGTCTGCTTCGGGTCCCCACGGAGAGCCGAGTTCAGCCAGGTCAACAGGCCCTGGAAAGTCCTCCAGAATCCCTTCCCTAGAACCAGCGGGGCCTGGCCAGCAGATGCTGCCGCAGCTCCCAGGCCGCTCCCCGCTCCCCATGGGCCTCAGGACTCCGTGCCCACCCACTCCAGGTGGGGACACCCGCATGGGGTCCGTTGCCATCGAGCCAGCGTCCACAATGCTCTTTGGTGGCTGCAAGTGAATGCAGCACAGCTGGGTTAGCACTGCTGCCTAAACATGGGGTGAGGTGCACGCCGAGTCCCGTGCTCGCAGCTCAGCGACGAGTGCCAGAGGCCACCATCCACGGATGCAACCAGCGGATGCCTGTGACCCTCTCCGACGGTCGACCTCAGTCCCGGGCCCTAGCCCTGCCAGCCCGAGAGATTCAGAGGCCGGAACTGGCTGTGTTGCTGAACTGCTGTGGGACCCTGACACGTGCCGTGAAGACTTGTGCCTCTTCGGGGCGCTGGCAGGGCCATGACCCAGCCAACCCAACCTGACCTACGAGCAGCAAGGACACGAAGAACGGGCCAGCAGGCCCACAGGCAGTGGGCCCAGGGCTCTCACAGAACCAGAGTCTGGCCCCAGGAGACACACAGGGCTCCCGAAACTGACTAGCATTGGGGAGAAGGGTCCTGTGACTGACGCACAAGGAACAAGACTGCGCCACCCAGCGACGCGCCCCGTTCACGTGACGCTGCTGCTCGCATGGGCCCCGGGCCCGAGGTGGGCCTGAGAGAGCGAGCCTTCCTCCCTGAGCCTGCGGACCACAAGGACAGCGGAGGACGCGCGGCCTCCAGCCACACAGTCAACCGCAGTCCAAAACGTTAGGCGGAAAAGTCCAGAAAAAACACTTCACGGTTTTGCGTGTGCGCCATTCCGAGCGTCTGACGTCTCGTGCTGTCCTGCTCCGTTTCCCTTGGGACGTGACTCATCCGTCTGTCCAGCGTCTCACCCTGAGCACGCTCCCGGCCTGGCGGTCACCTGGTGGCCGTCGCGGTGATCAGGCCGCCTGTGGCGGTGTCACGGAGCTTCTGTTAAGCCCCCCTCATTTCACTTCATAATGGCCCCGAGCACAGGAGCAGGGATGCTGGCGGTTCAGATGCGTCACTGAGGGGCCGGGCAGCGCGGTCGCTGACCAAGGCGGCGCGTGTGCAGAGACAGCGTGACAAGGCTCGGTACGACCCACGCCTCGGGCGGTGCCAGGGGTCCTGGGGCAGCTGCGCCCATCCAGCAAGTCCTTTTCTCAGTGCTGCTAGGTGTGGGCCTCTCGTCCCGCTGCAAAGCTCCGCCTGACGCCACAGCCTCTGGCCAAGCAGCCTGTTCCCGCCTCTGATGGCTGAAAGTGACTTGGAAGGACCTCCTGGTCACTGGCCCCCAGGGCCAAACTTACCCTGGGAGCACATGCCGCACGCCAATTCATGAGGACCAGCGCACCTCGGCCCCGCGGCTGAGCTCTCCATCCAGGGTGAGACCACCGCCTCACGTGGGCGGTGGCCAGTGATCGGGCCGGGCTGCCGAGCCAGGACCCAGCAGGTGGCCTAGCCCCGCAGCGAGTGGGCTTCCCGCCCCGACCCCCACACCGCCCCCCACGCCCGCGGCCGTACCAGCTCGTGGCTCTGCGGCCGGCCCTGCAGCTTCTGGTGGTAGTCGAAGGTGAGCCTGTCCAGCACGGCGTGCTCCTCGTCGTCCACGGTGGCCATGGAGCGCTCCTTGTTGATGCGGTCGATGTCGATGTGCTCCTCGCCCTCCAGCGCCGCGCTCCACCAGTACTCGCCCGCCTTGCTCAGGCTCACCTGGCCGTGGGACGGGGATGTGTCAACGTGTGGCACGTGGTGGCGGGCCCGACGCCACGAGCTGGGGCACCTGTCCCCCAGGTCCTCCCGGAGGATGGTGCCCCAGGTATGTCACCACCTCACAACACCTTGGCTGCCAGGACCCTAGCCCACTCCCACCAGAGCTCAGAGCCACCCGCCGCCCACGCCGGCCCCGAGAGCCTGCCTGGGCCGCCAGGGGAGCACGACCCCAAGTGTGCGCTTCTTTCAACGTGCTGCTGCCGGCCCCTGCTGGCCACCCCTCCCCCAGGTGACCTTTGCTGCTTCCAAACCCGGCACCTGCCTCCTGTCCCCCTGGGGGGCCTGGGACCTGAGGACTGAGTCATCCCAGGGTGAGCCCCCCGACCCCACCAATGCCCAGCACTGTCCCGCTCCCCTCCCTGGCCAGACCCCTCCAGCCCTGCGACCACCGCACAGGACTCGCCTCCCAGTTAGGGGAAGCACCCCACCCAGCCTCACTGCACAGTCTGGGCCTTGGGGACAAAAGAACTGAGTGGGGACAGCACCATAGGGATCGTCTGAAGTTGGTGGCAAGGTCCCCTCTCAGGACCACAGGGCCTGGGCAGCACCCCTGCCATGGTCAGTGGTCAGCAGCTGGGCTGACTGGGGAACTCTTAGCAGAGCAGTCAAGAGCTGACAGGTGGGTGGCCCCATGCCCCCTGTGCGGCCCTCCCCCAACAGGATGAGATCTGCTGTGCCTAGAGGGCAGGGAAGGGACCCTCAGTCAGAGGAAAGAGTTACTGGCTGGAGGGCACGGGGACACACTGGGCCCAGAGCCAGCCCACACAGGTGACACCCAGGAAGACAACACGTCAGGCTAAGCAACGCAACACAGCATCAGGAGGCCGCAGGCAAAACACTCTCGGAACGAGACTCAAGAACTAGGTCTGACATCGACTTGTTTGAGAACGTCACCTGAGCTCGGCCACACAGCCACGCCCCACCTACGTCCACCACAGGTGTTCTCGCGGCCCACGCTCGCTGTGCCAGCTCGCTGGCTGTGTCCAGGACACGTGCCACTCGTGGAATCACACCGCCACGGCCTCGCGCGGTCGCTGACGCTGGGCTGTGCTGCCTGCGTACCGGGAGTCATGCGGGCCGTCGGCTGGGGGCCACGCAGACTCTGAGTGAATGTGCGCCCCCCTCCTCCTCAGGCGGTGCCCGGCAGGGTCCTGTGCTTGGTGTGCGACCTGGTGAAAACGTCACATGAGCCGCAATTCTGAAGCCCGCCTCAGCGGCGAAGGGTCCCAGGCTCTGTCTTGTCAGCGCCTGAAGCTGTCGTTTCTTTCCAGGAGCTGTTCCAGTAGGGGTGCAGTGACGTGTCGCTGGGGTTTTAAGTCACAGCTCCATGACTGATAATGTGGAGCGTCTGTGCACGTACTTATTTATGGTCCCGTTTAAAAAGAATTTTCTTTAGAACGATTTCAAACTTCTAAGCTGCCAAACTTGCTCGCATGCACACGCCTCACCCCGGCCTGGCCCAGCCTCACGTTACCACTGTCTGCGCACGCGCTCGCTGCGTGGGACACAGGCCGTCACGCGACACATCTCTGAAGCAGCTGAGCCCCTCACCCACGGACTCTGGTGAACACCTCCCTCCGAGGACACGGAAGCCGTCCGACGACCGCACTCGCCCTCCCTCCCACGCGGGGCCAGTCCCCGCTGCCCGCGTCCGTGCCGGGCCCCTTTCGCCAGGTCTCCACAGACTTCGTGTCGTTTTGTCTGCAGAGACCGCCCTGTTTGGGGTTGGTCTGGCGTTTCCTCCAGATTAAACTCTGAAGTGCCCTCTGCGTGACGCTGGAGGCGATGCCACACCCTCCTGGGTGTCCCACCTGCAGGTGCACGTTCCCTGGCCACATCCACGGGGATTCCTGCCTGGTCCCATCTGCCCCAGGACAGCGACGAAAGTGCTGCTTCCAGCCCCAGCCGGAGCCGTGCAATGGCCAGCAAGGGCCTTCTGTCCCCAGGCCCGGTCCCTGGTGCCTGGTGTCTCACAGGCTCTCCCTCACGCCCACCCCTCATTAAGCGGGGCTCAGGGCTCCAGCTGGCAGGCTGGGGTAGGTGTGGTGACCTGGCAGCATGCCCCTCCCTGGCCATACTCTAGCCTCCTCCTGTCTAGGCCCAGACAGAGAATCAGTTTCTCGGAGGGACCTGTGGGCTGCTGGCCGTTTTCTCCAGAGGTTTCTCCAGAACGTCCTCGTGGAAGCTCCGAACGCCATGGGGGTGAGCGCAGCGCAGCCCCGATCTGTGCCGATGACTCACCAGCGCCCGCCCCCTCCTGCCTGAGTCACTGAACCAGGTTTCTATTCAGGGACACAGAGTGCCCCATGGGGACGACGGCTCCTCACAGCTGCCCAGGGGTCACGCTGGGGCCAAGGAGACATGCGTGAGAGTCGTGGGTGGTACTGTGGGGTGGGGGGAGTGACTGAGGACAACGACAGGGAGGATGAGGGAGCCTGTCAGCTGCAGCCACCTCTGCGGAGGGGACGTGGGCCCTAGTCTGATCGCTGCCCCTCAGACACGCCAGGGGCAGCCCTGCGCCGAGCAGGCTCCTGGTTTCTGACGTCGCCAGCTTCTCGTAGGAGCCTGGGCGACCTGGGCGGTGGTGGGGTATGGCCGATGGCACCTCGCTGCCTCCCCTGTGCCCCAGGCCGCTGCGTGTACCACTCAGGACCTGCAGCCTCGCGCTGCCCACCCTGCAGCCCAAACCCTCTGCCTTTCCTTGCGGGGACCCACGGCCTGGGGACGCCGCCACAGGTTGGGCAACTTGGGGAATGTGAGGGGCCTGAGGGGGTGAGCACTGAGGGCCGGGGGGCTCATGCGCCACTCTGGGATGAACCTCCACCCTGCACCTCGGCTCCTGCCGACACGCTGACGTTGTGTGACCTGCCTTTGTGAAGAAGGTGGCGCGTGATCCAGGACATGCCTCCCAGGGCCAGGCAGGCCAGTGGCCACTGGGCCACCAGTGAGGGAACGAAGATGACGAGCCTCACGGAAAAATGCACGTCCCCACTAGAAATCCGACAAGTGAAGGAGGGCGAACGGGTCAGCAGGGAAGTTAGGTGAACAAGTCCGGCACTCTGGTGACACCACGGAAATGTGGCACCTTCGGGGGGAGCCCGTAGCCGACGGGCAAGCACTGCAGTCAGCCTGGGACTCCAGCGGAGATGCTTAACCAGGGAGATGATGTGAATGAGTCGCCTGCACGTTCAGCTGCACAGACACCCGCAGGTCAGACTGCACGCCCCAGGGCGGCAGGCGGTCTGCAGCTGCTGCCTCAACTTCAGTGACATGCGGAGCGTCTCATCAGCAGGGATCAGCTTCGCCCACGCTCGGCACCACCCCCTTGACCACACAGCGTCCACAGGCCGAGGGGGACGTCAGCCTCGCGCAGAGGGACAAATGAGGACAGCAAGCCAACTCGGGTCCTGAGATGAACGCAGCCGCAGGGAGGCTCCGTAACCAAGGAGCAGCCTGAGGACCGAGAAGCCCCGTTTAACATTCTGAGCGTGGGAGGAAGGGAGGCAAGAACTGTCATCCGGTTTTAGCTGCCACCCCTGCCTGCTCCAAAAGCCTGCGTGGCGGGGCTGGGGTGGTCCACGGATCAGGAGGCGGGCGGCATGTTCGCACTGGATGCTGGGAGGGCAGAGGCTCCAAGGACTCTGGGGAGCTGACGGGCGGCCCAGGGGTCGCCACTCTTCTGTCCCAGCAGCTCTCTCAGTGACACCGCCACGTGGGCCCGTGCTGTCCTGGCGGAGCCTCACGCAGCCCGCACACAGGGCGTCAACAAGACGTTTATTCTCACGTCAGGAGGCCAGAGCCCGCGATCTCGTTGTGTCGCAGGCCTGGGCCCTGTCCCGAGGCTGCAGGTCCCACCCGTGCCCCGACTTCGCCTCACTGCTCCCACATCTGCGTCTCCTTTTGTCTCAAATCGCCCTCGTTTCCTCTCGTCGGGACACTTGCCGCTGGGCTGAGGGCCACCTGGACGGCCGGGGTGATTCCTCCATCTAAGGACCCCTCGCGTCACAGCTGCCACGAAGTCCCATCGTGGGGTCGGGTTGGCGAGGACATCAGGGGGCCTAGCACAGGGCCTGGCACTGGGTCGGTGTTGGGGTCGGCCACCGAGGACGAGGAGTGGGGGTCCTGCATCGGCACAGTGGTGACCCAAGCAGGTGGCTGGTGAGCAGGGGCCGAGTCCCAAAGCCAGGCCAGGCGACCCTGGTGCACGCTCTGCACCTGCAGGGCTCCAGGCGGCTGCTCCTGGCAACACCCGCCAGTCGCGGCGGTGCCTGCAGCAGGCCCCAGCTCCGCCCTGTGTGCAGCCCCAGGTGCCACCGGGAGGCAGTGATTAAAGCGATGCACTGAACCTTTGGCCCCATGAACAGCAATGTCTCCACAACTCGTTGGCGTCCCCAAGGGCAGGGCCAAGGCCCTCCCTGCAGAGCGCAGCGTAATGCCATCACGCATGTGCCGCCTGCTCGCCCCGGAGCATGGGGCCCGCACTCACCAGAACGCACTTCCCAGGCTCCAGGCTCCAGACAGAGCCCTCGGTGTTGACCTTGTGGGTGAACTTCCCTTCCACCAGGACACGCTCCCCGGTTTCCTCCAGCACGGCCACCCGGATGGAGCTGCTGCTGAGGGCCACCGAGACCTGGGACAGCAGGAGAGAACTGTTTCAAGTGTGAAGGTGGTGACCGGTAGGTACCCCTCATAACAGGAGGGGATGCTGGTTCCCAAGGCACCTGGCCTCGTGCCACAGGACAAAATGTGAGATGTCCTTGAGCCGCCAGGCATTCTGAAGAAAATCACAGTGACTGACAGATACCTGAAGCAGCTGGTGCGGAAAGGCCCTCTGTGGGCGGGGGACCCAGGCCCTCCCACCCCGCTGCCCCCCTTGAGCCAGGCTGCCTCCGGGGCTTGGCCTCACGTGAGGAGCCGCTTGGCCCGTCTGGTCCCTGCTGTCTGCTCTACAGGCCCTGCTCCGTCCTTCCTCTGGGGCCCCCTCGGCCCCATGCTGGGATTCCCTTCCCCAGCCTCACCCACTCCACGATGCCCCGGGAGGTGCTGGGAACAGGCTCCGTCCCACGTGGCTCCGGCAGTAAGAGCCAAAGCCGGTGTGGCCCAGAGGTCACCGAGTCAGCATAGAAGGACAACACACAAGACTCCTGTCCCTATTTGTTTCACTTCTTCTTTTTAAATCTAAAAGCTGTATGTTCGTAACGCAGAAGGGTCACCGGAGGGGGCATGGGCCTGTCCGATGGCCGCCCCGGCCGCCAGGCAGAGCTCGTCGAACGCTGTGAAATGCTGAAAAGAAACCCTGACAGCCATAGGACTTTCGAACCGGAGTTTATATCTGTCCGCGGCATCTGATTCCATCGCCTGCTTCAAATATCCCCGAACGAAAGATGGACGTGCAAGAGACAACGTGACATGAGAGAAGAGGGGACAAAAGGGCCACCCCAGGGCAGGCGACCGCGTCACCGTGTCCACGCGCAGGCTCTGGGGTCCTATGAGCCACAGCTCCCCTCACCCCTGCTTCTGGGAGGTTCCACTGTTTACTCGGCTGGTTCTGCAAGGCCACAGCCACAGCCCGGTGTCACCCAGCCAACCAACAGCAACCGCCACCGATCCAGACCACAGCGGGCCCACCGGGTCGACTGTGGACGGCGTGTGCGGTGACTGGGTGACCGTCGGACACAGCAGGCCTAGGCTCCGCCGGCCCCAGCCTCTGAGGGGCTTCGACGGACAAACCTGCTCGGCCGTGCAGCGCCGAGCTTCCCAACAAGGGCAGTTTGTCGCACTGCTGGTCTCTGACCCACGGGATGAAGCGAAGACCACGGGGAACAGACAGGAGGCACTTCAGGAGTCCTGGTTCAAGACGTCACTCTGGGAACAGGCGGCCGACTCCTGACCCCGTAACCCACAGAATGACAGGAATGAAGCACAAAGAAGAAAGCCCTAGATGATGCCAGGACAGACAGGACAGAGAAGGGACAGGGCACCTCAGTGAGTCCATAGCTGCAAGGGGCTTCCAGCTGGCAGTTAGTGGGCACCGACTGCTGAGTGTCCACGGCCCCAGCTGTGGCAGAGGAAGGGACGAGAACCCACTGCTGGCCAGAGCAATGAGGGGCAGTGCTCCAAAGACAGACCAGCAGTCAAGCCCTGTGGGTCGCCTGGCGCCCACACACCGGGAAGCCAGGCCAAGCTGCTGACCCTCAGCTCTCAGTGGCACTGGGAAGAGCAAATCATAGACTCAGAGCAGAGAAGACCGACACTGGCCTGTACTTGAAGAACGGGGAAAATATACTTTGTAATGATAATAAAAAAATCTAACAGGGAAGTAAGGGTTGCATCCTCAGGAAATTAGCAACACGAAAACACAGACTTGGTAAAGAAAACAAAACAAAAAGTACAGAGCTGGTTAGGAAAAAAGGAAAATCTAAAATATTTCCAACCTCTACCTTCAAAGAAATCTAAGAAGGAGTTGTGTCTACAGAACCAGAATAAAATATGAAAACAGAATTAGACAAAAAAGAACACCTGGAATTAAAAACAGTGGCTAAAACACAATTTTCAACAGAAAGGCTGGGATCAGATCAAGTCAAAGAAAGCAAGGCAGAGTCTGGCATTCCAGAATCTGTGACAGGGACAAGACCACCTCCAGAGCTCAAGAAAAATACGCCTTCGGTCTGGAAGGGCCACGGAGGGCTGAGCAGAACGAAAGACGAATGACACAAACACACGAAACGTCATGAAGGTCTGAAGAGATCCACAGGGGAGTAAAAATCAGTAATGCTGGGTGCAAGACAAGGGAGCGAGACTTTCTAAGGGCATGATTCTTTAAGGCCATAATTTCTATTCACACCCAAACTACGAAACCAGTGAAAGGTTAGAAGTAGCGTACGTTAAGACACGCAAGAACCCTACGTTCACGTATCACTAAAAAGTTACTTGAAGCTATACTATAACAAGGTGATGAAAACTAAAACAGAGAAAGATCCTGGAAATGGTCAAAGAAACTTCCAGTCATAAGATGAGTCAGTCCTGGGACCTGACGGACAGCGTGGGGGCCAGAGTAAACGCTGCTGGCTGCGTGTGTGCACGCTGCTAAGAGTCACGCTTGTCACTAACTATTGTGGCAACCATTTTGCAATAGACCATTAGATAGTATAAGTAATCATTACACCTTCAGCAACTGTATCTCAATAAAACTGAAAACAAAAAGAGGAAGAGCCAGCAGGGCCAGAACAGGGACCCCGACGGGAAGAGCAGCGAGCAGCACACCCAGCTCGGAAGCTGCACGCAGAACAGGGGCGACCAGTGCAGATGAGTCAGCGGCGAGTGGGCTTTCAAGAAAGGGGTCTTCGGGGAGACGGTGACTTCCAGACCACACGTGGTATTATTGAGAGCCCGGGTAATCCGGGGCTGTATGGGAAGCATGCTAGTTTGACAAGAGTAAAGGAGAGGCAGCAAGAAGCTGTGGGAAAACAAAAAACCGTGTAAGAAATCTCTGATCCAAAGGGGTTAGTGAAATGGCGAAGGACCTCCAAGAACGCAAGGAGAACACTGAAAACCCGGCCGACGGCCACTGCTGCCGAACTATGGAAACTAATAAAGGTTCGCAGGGACCTGGGGAGCATTTATGCAAGAAAATCAACTGCATCTCGGCCAGAACGGCAAGCCCTGTGACACTAACTTGCCCTAGACTCACTCGCGCCCCAGCCCGCACAGGGCGTGCGGGGAGAAGGGGCCGCCTCGGAGCTCACGCACGATCGCTCGGCGGTGCAGCAGCTCCCAGGGAGACTCCGCTTGCAGGGCTGTTTCTCGACCAGACGCTGAAAAGCCCTTTCCCCAGGGAATGTCTGCTAAAAACAATCCCAGGCAAGTGATTTCCCTCTGCAGCTGGCCGAGGCAGCGGATAACGGTGGGGGCAGACGAAGGGAGAAGCTGGGGAGTTCATGTCCGCAGGGCTCGACCCCCAGACGTGCTCCTGAGGCTGGGCAGGGCCGTGTGTGCTCAGGAGACCCCACGTGCGAAGGCCCCACGCGCCTGCTCCAGCGGACTTGCGAGACCCCTGAAGGTGCGCCCCGAGGGTACTTGGCGCCCCTGGACGATGGCAGAGACTGACTGGGTCCAGTCGGCGATCCCTGTCCAATCACTGGCTGACCACTACACTCAGCATGTAGAGACACCAGTGGCCACACACCATGGAAAATAAAGACTTCAGAGAATTAGTCCAGAAAGGTCATTAGACAGGAACTCCGTGGCGTATCGACGACCACCACCCATGGGGAGAAGAGAAAATCTCACTTCCAGAGTCGCCGCATTGTTAGTTAAAATGCCCAGTTTCAACAAAAAAGCCCCACAAAGAAACAAGAAAAGAGGACGCATGCTCCAGGGACAAGGGCAGCCACTGAAACTGTCCCTGGGAAGGGCCAGGCGTGGAGCTGGCCGTGAGCCTATCCATCCGCTACTCTAGTCTGCTCGGAGAGCTGAAGAAAACGCTGTGCGCCCTACAGGGCCTATGAGAATGCGCGTCATGAGGGGAAAAGATCAGCAAAGAAGTGGATACTATGTCCTAAAAGAACCAAAGCCAATTTCGAAATTCAAAAGTAACAAAACGTAACCAAAGTAAGAAATCCACAAGAGGGTGTCTTCTGAGCAGATTTCAGCAGTTAGAAGAAAGAACTGTCAAATTGGAAGAGAGGTCAATTGAGATTACTCAGTCTACAGAGAAAGAAAATAGGAAAAAAAAAACAAACCTGAAAACTTTCCAAATTTGACCAAAAGAATTGATCTACAGATCCGAGAAGCTCAATGAAATCCAAGCAGAATATCCTCAAAGAGACTAAGACCTCGCTGCGTCAAAACCGAACTGTCAAAAAAGCCAAAGCCGAAGACAGAACTTGGAAGGAGGAAGCGAGAGGCGACACGCCGCGTGTGATGTCCTCGGCCGCCGGAGCCAGGCCGGCGCGGAGGCTCGGAGGAGTCGGCCCAGTGCTCTGCACCCTACAGCACCGCCTTCCCCAGCGAGGGGCAAGCCGGACACCCCCACACGGCTCCCATGAGAGGGCGCGCCCCTGGCAGGCACTTTTCTCTTGCAGAAGCCCAGGGGAGATACTGAAGGGTCCCTTGGGTGGAAAGAGAAGGGTACTGGATGGTCACTTGAACCCACACGAAGAAACAGGGCCCAGGACAGGGAAACGTAAGAGGCGGCCGAGTGCGCCTCGTGCCAGTGGCCTCAGGGCAGCAGTAGTTTCTTAGATGCGACACAAAAAGCACAGGCAACCAAGAATGACAGCGAGGGACAAATGAATGATGCGACTTTATAAAAATAAAAGGTTTTTGTACTTTGAAGGACATCGTCTCTTAAAACAGTGAAAAGAACTGACAGGATGGGAGAATATATTTGCAGGTTATTATTCTGATAAGGACATAATATCAAAAATCGAAAGGTACACTTAAACTTAATTAAAAGACAAACCACCGAATTTTCAAACGGGCAAAGAATTTGACTGGACATTTTTCCAAAGAAGACACAGGCGCGGCCGGCCAGTAAGCCCAGGGGATGCCCGTCGTCATCAAAGTCACAGCAAGCTCGGCACCTCGCAGCCATCAGGGTGGCGATGACAAACGAAACAACAGACACGC